CCAAGGCAGAGTTCCTGGGATGCACATGGGGCGGCCGGGCGGCCTGGGATCACGCGGCCGGGGCACAGGCGCTCACGTGCCGCTCAAGTGGACGCTCTTAAAGGGAGGGTCCTCTGCGGCCCAGCTTCCTGCCCCGTCCAAGGAGGAGGCCGCGGGAGGCCAGGCTGCACCCTCCCGGCCCTGCCGCCGGCCCAGGTAAGCTCGGTGCGGCTCTGCCGGGCGTGGGCTCGGCCCCCAGCGGCCTCCAGCTCCTCTCCCGCGGAGGCCGGCTGCACAGGGGCCCGTAGGGGAGGCCAGGGGACCCGTGCACGGCCGGGGGGGGGCGGGCAGGATGGGATGATTCCCTGAGGGGATGAATCCTGGGTCAGCCGGCCACCGCCCGGCTCCAACAAGCTGGCTGCTTCTGCTTCTTTTTTTAAAAAATATATTTTTATTGATCTCAGAGAGGAAGGGAGAGGGAGAGAGAGACATCCATGATGAGAGAGAGTCATTGATCGGCTGCCCCTGCACGCCCCCCACTGGGGATCGAGCCCGAGACCCGGACATGTGCCCTTGACAGAAATCTAACCCGGGACCGTTCAGCCCACTGAACCGAACCGGCTCGGACGGCTGCGTTAATTGACTATCGCCAGGTGAGAGCAGCTGCGTCGGATCAGGCTGGTTGACTTCAGCAGGTGGGATTAGCCTGCCTGGATCAGGCTGTTTAACTCGGTAGGTGGTATTGGCTCGATTGGCTTAGGGGTTAATTAAACCAGCAGTAGGATTAGCTGGAATGGATTAGGCTGGTTAAACCAGTAACCAGGGCTAGCTAGATTGGATCAGGTCGATGGAAAAGATATATGGGGTAAAGACATTCATCAGTGGCCTCCTGCACACACCCCAACCGGGGCCAGGGACCGAGCCCGCCACCCGGGTCCCTGCCCTTGACCGGGAACTGAACCTGCCACCCTCGGGTGCCAGGGCGGGCGCTCTAACCACTGAGCACACCGCGGATCCCGGCGGTGATTCTCTGCCTAGAAGGGTCAGACCAAGTCCAGGTGGGGCCACAGGCGGCCGCAGGGGGACAGGACGCTCGAAATAGACCCAGGCGGCCGGCGGTGTCTTTTGGCTAAACCGGTCCCCAGTCATTTGCCTGCGGGCGGGGCTTGCTGTTAATTTTGGCCCAAAGACTCAAGGCTACGGAGTCAACAGAGGCCGCCCAGCAGCAAACCAGCCCCCGGTGTTTGCAGAAGCCACTTCCGAGGCTGCAGGCGCCCAGGCCCCGCCCGCCCCTCGGGTCCCCCCTGCCACCCCACCCCGGCCCCAGGCTTCCCCGCCCTCTGCACCCCTCCTTGTAGGGCCGTCCCCACCCGTGTGGACACGCTCCAGAATGTCAAACCCTCCTGACTCACTCCCCGTCCACGGGACGCCTCCCCGGCTCCACGCTGGCTGTCTCCTGCCATCAGAATCCACAGAAAAGCCGCCCGGCCGGGTGGCTCAGTGGCTGAGCGTTGACCGACGAACCAGGAGGTCGAGGTTCCATACCTGGTCGGGGCACATGCCCGGGTTGCCAGGGGCAGCCAGTCAATGATTCTCTCCCATCAGTGATGTTTCTCTCTCTCCTTCTCTCTTCCTCTCTGAAATCAATCACAACATATTTAACAAAAGCAGCCCAGAGAATAACCGGACAGTGAGCAGGTGGGCGCCCACCGCCCGGATCACACCAACGTTAATTGGTCATGTTTGCAGCAGATGGGTTTTTTTTTCCGTCTCTTCATGAAAAAAAAAAAAATAAGAGAAAAAGAAAGAAAAAAAGATCTGGCAGCCCCAGTTCTTTCAGCCCAGGGCCCTCGGACGGCCCTGCCCGGTCTGGCCCCTCACGGACGGACACGCCCCTCACGGACGGACACGCGTGTGTCCTCCGCGGCCCGGCCTTTGTCCCGCAGCCCTGTCCTCCGTCTCACCGGGCCCAGCTCTCGGCCGCTTTCTCTTTTCTTTCTTTGCTTTTCAGATACGTTTGTTTTGGTTACACAGAGAGGGAGGGGAGGAAGGAGAGAGAGAGGAACACCCACGATGAGAGAGCATCGTGGATGAGCTGGCCCCGCACACCCCACACTGGGGACCGAGCCCGCAGCCTGGCATGTGCCCCGACCGGGAATCGAACCCGGGACCCTCTCGGTCCGCCGCAGGCCGACGCTCTGCCCGCTGAGCCAAACCGGCCGGGTGGACGCGGATGTTTTGGGCGGCCGTCCTGCGAAGGGCGGGCGGGTGAATTTCACAGACGGGGAAGCAGGGACGCTGAGGTGGCTGGGGGAGACCCGGGCCTCACGCCCACCCCCTTGTCGCCCAGGGACAGAAGGCGTGGATCGAGAAGACCTTCTGCCGGCGGGAGTGCGTCTTCGTCGTCCCCAGCACCAAGGACCCCAGCAGGTAACCTGGGAGCCGCAGGGAAGCCACCGTCCAGACCCGCCCGGGGCCCCGGTTGCCGGCAACTCTTTTATTTTGATCCTCCCCCCCGGGGATATTTCTTTCCATTGATTCCTAGACAGAGTGAAAGGGGGAGGGAGAGAGAGAGAGAGAGAGAGAGAGAGAGATCCTGTCTTCATGTTGCTGCACCTCAACGTCCCTCCTTAACCTCAGGGGCGCCTGGGCCCCCTCGATGGAACCTCTAGGGCAGCCCTGCAGGCGCCCTGCACAGACAGCGGCTAAGGGCCTCCTGGGACCAAAGCCAGAATGAAAACCAGGGTGGGCATGCAGCAGGCAGCCGACCCACGACTCTCTCTCATCACGGATGTTTCTCTCTCTCTCTCCCTCTCCCTTCCTTCCTTCGAAATCCATAAAAACACTAGAGGCCCGGTGCATGGATTCGTGCACATTGAGAGGAAATTAATTGGAGGAAATATTTCAGAGGCCGGGGAGGGGCCGAGGGAGATTGGCTGGCCAGGGAGGGGCTGCAGGAGGGCTCCAGGGGAGTCCGGCCCGTCTTGCCTGGTCCCAATCGGCCAGACCCAGCAATAGGCTAACCTGCCAGTCGGAGCGTCTGCCCCCTGGTGGTCAGTGCGTGTCATAGCGACTGGTCGGACGGTCGGACACTTAGCATATTAGGCCTTTATTATAAAGGATATTTTAATGCCGAGGCCGGTTTGGCTCGGTGGATGGAGCGTCGAGTCGGCCTGCGGACTGAAGGGTCCTGGGTTCGATTCCGGGCAGGGGCATGTGCCTGGATTTCGGGCACATCCCCAGTGGGGGATGTGCAGGAGGCAGCTGATCGATGTTTCTAACTCTATCTCTCTCCCTTCCTCTCTGTAAAAAATCAATAAACTATATTTTTAAAAAAATAAATAAAGGATATTTTAAAAGAGAGAGAGAGGGAGAGAGAAGACTGTTTTTGCCTTTGTTCTCAGGTGTTGCTGTGGCCAGCTCATCGCCCTGCATATCCCGCCTCTGCCCAGCGTAACATCCGGCAAAAATGGGGAGGAGAGCAGAGAGCTGGAGACGCCGCCGGAGAAATGGTCTGTGGGCAGACACACCCAGGGCTACCCGACCGACGCCTACGGGACGCTGGAGTTCCAGGGCGGCGGATACTGCAACAAAGCCATGGTGAGAGGGACCTGAGGCTGGGCCGTCACCCAGCCCACAGCCCCCGTCCGAGGCCCGGCCCCCCGGACCCCCCGACCTGGGCACCTGGGTCTTCTTTCAGGGGCATCGCTCAATCCTCCAGGAGGGCTCCTGCTTGGACAGGAGCGACAGTCCGGCCCGGCCCCCTGCCCCGGGGACCCGCTCAGCCCACGCCCTCTCTTGCAGTACATCCGCGTGTCCTACGACACCAAGCCGGACGCCCTGCTGCACCTGATGGTGAAGGACTGGCAGCTGGAGCTCCCCAAGCTCCTCATCTCCGTGCACGGCGGCCTCCAGAGCTTCCAGATGCAGCCCAAGCTGAAGCAGGTGTTCGGCAAGGGCCTGGTCAAGGCCGCCGTGACCACGGGCGCCTGGATCTTCACGGGCGGCGTCAGCACGGGTGAGCGCCGGCCTCTCCCGGCCGCAGACACGCAGGCCCGGGGCGCCTGGGCCCCGAGAGCTTCCCCAGAAGGAAAAGCCACGTGTGTGGCAGCCCGACGTCGCTTTTGGGTTTTCGTTTTTAAAAATACATTTTTAAGAAAGAAAAAAAAATATTTTTATTGCCCGAGCCGATTCGGCTCAGTGGATAGAGCGTCGGACGGTGGACAGAAGGGTCCCGGGTTCGATTCTGGCCCAGGTTGCAGGCTCCTCCCCGGCCCGGGCCCTGATTGGGGCGCGTGCAGGAGGCAACCCGTTGATGTGTGTCTCTCACGTCGATGTTTCTCTCTGTCTTTCCCTCTCTCTTCCACTCTCCCTAAAAGATCAATGGAAAAATGTCTTCGGGTGAAGATTAAAAAGAAATATATATATATTATTAATTGCAGAGGGGAGGGGGAGAGAGAGAGAGAGACATCAATGATGAGAGAGGATCACTGATGGGCTGCCTCCTGCACGCCCCCTACTGGGGATCGAACCCACAACCCGGGCCTGTGCCCCAACCGGGGAGGGAACCGTGACCTCCTGGTTCACAGGTCAAGGCTCAACCACTGAGCCAGGCTGCCAGAGCCGGGTACCTTTCTTTCAATGGCAAAGATCACCGTGTCTCCACCTGTTCCCCAGGGGACGGAGTGGCCCGGAGAAGGGGTCCCCCCCAGCCCCCCTCCCCCTACCTGTCCACAGGGGGCCTCACTCACGGGCCCCCCGGCTGCTCGCAGGGGTCATCAGCCACGTCGGGGACGCCCTGAAGGACCACTCCTCCAAGTCCCGGGGCCGGGTCTGCGCCATCGGCATCGCCCCCTGGGGCCTCGTGGAGAACAAGGAAGACCTGATCGGGAAGGACGTGAGTGCCCCCCCCCCCCCGACTGGGCCATTGATCGTTCATCGTTATTGTCGTTTTTGGACGCCGGCAATTTTTAAAGAAAGTCCAAGTCTTTCCTCTGAGGTCGTGGCGGGTCCCCCTGCAGTTGTACGAAACGAGGAAGACGGGTTCCCATGGACCCCTCTTCCCTCTCGGCCACCGTAACCAACGTCTTGCCAAACCGTGACAGGACGTCACCACCAGGACCTTTTTAATTCACGTGGTTATTTGTTTCTTATTTAATTTATTGTTATTATTAGAGAGAGATGAAAGGAGAGCAGCAGGGAGAGAGAAACATCCATGAGACATCATGGATCGGCTGCCTCCTGCACGCCCCACACTGGGGATGGAGCCCGTAACCCGGGCATGTGCCCTTGACCGGGAATCGAACTGTGACCTCCTGGGTCATAGGTCAACGTTCAACCAGTGAGCCATATCGCCGGGCTACGTATAAGATTTTGTGTTAAGATAGGTTTTCATTTCTTTGCCATCAATGCCCAGGAGTACAACGGCTGGGTTGGCGTTATCTAAAAGTAATTTATTCCTCAGCCCGGCCGGCGTGGCTCAGTGGTTGAGCATCGAACCAGGAGGTCACCGGTTCGATTCCCGGTCAGGGCACAGGCCCGGGTTGCGGGCTCCATCCCCAGTGTGGGGCGTGCAGGAGGCAGCCGATCCGTGATTCTCTCTCATCGTTGCTGTTTCTCTCTCTCTCCCTCTCCCTTCCTCTCTGAAATCAATAAAAAAATAATTTCATATAGAAATTTTCCAAAAAAAAAAAAAGTCCATCACGAGAAAGGAGAGGAAAGGGACAGCCGGCCGCCCTGCACAGTGAGACAGGGCATTGCTGCTGCGTCCGCGTCCCGGCTCCCCCCGCGGGCGGACCGCGCCCGGGCTGCGGCTCTGACGGGAGCTGTGCTCTTGTCAGGTGACGAGACTCTACCAGACCATGTCCAACCCGCTCAGCAAGCTGTCCGTGCTCAACAGCGCCCACACGCACTTCATCCTGGCCGACAACGGCACGCTGGGCCGCTACGGCGCCGAGGTGAAGCTCCGGCGGCAGCTGGAGAAGCACATCTCCCTGCAGAAGATCAACACACGTGAGTCCTGGCCACGGCCACGGCCACGGCCACACGACCGCCTGGGTGTGTAAAGCCTTAACCGTGTCCCTGTTAGATCCACAGAAGATGACTTGATTTGACCCTCTTTCTTTTTAAAAAAAATGTATTTTTATTGATCTCAGAGAGAGGAAGGGAGGGAGAGAGAGAGAGAGAGAGAGAGAGAGAACATCAATGATGAGAGAGAATCGTGGATCGGCCGCCTCCTGCACGCCCCACACTGGGGATCGAGCCTGCAACCCAGGCCTGTGCCCTGACCGGGAATCGAACCGTGACCTCCTGGTTCCTGGGTCGACGCTCAACCACGGAGCCACGCCGGCCGGGCTGTGGTAGGGTTTCTGTGGAAGACAACCTGGGAAAGGAAGGTCGATCAAAGGGACTGTGAGGCTGACAGCTCGGCTGGGGCGGCCGCCATGAGCAGTGGTGGGTTTCCGAGAGTCAGATCTCCCGGATGGACGGGCTGGCGACGGAATGTCCTTCTCCCGTGTTTGGATTCCTCCAGACTTGCACGCTCACGCCGCCGGCTCCACGCGGCCACGGGGCTGCTGGGCTTCCCTTTGTCATCCTTTGCCTCGGGCTCGGAGCGGGGCAGGGACGGCAAAGGGATGCTCAGCTGTCACCTCTCCCGGCGAGAGCTTCGGGGGGGCTTTGGGGGGGTCCCACCTAAACCACGAGGAACGAATTCCACCGTTTCTAGAGGAAGAAGGTGACTTGGCCGCCATATTCCTGCCAAGCCGATCTTGGGCTGGAAGACTCAAAGGCACGGTGGGGCCATGTCATCTGGGTCCATTTTTAAAAATATATGTTTTTTTTATTGATTTCTGAGAGGAAGGGATAGGGAGAGAGAGAGAGAAACATCAGTGATGAGAGAGAATCCTTGATCAGCTGCCTCCTGCACACCTCCTACTGGGGATGGAGCCCGAAACCCGGGCATGTGCCCTGACCGGGAATCGAACCGTGACCTCCTGGTTTGTAGGTCGACGCTCAACCACTGAGCCACACCGGCCGGGCCATAGCAGACCCTCGAACGCACATTTGCCGAACGGAACTGAACTGAGATTATTCGGGTTAAGAGTTGGTCAACATATTTCCAAGTTCCTGGCTGCAGAAATGCATCATGGGGGCCAACCGGAACCGCTAACCCCTCCCTCTTGAGGTTCTGGAACTCCCCTCACGTATCCATTTCATCGGAGGAAGGCCTGCAGAGCTTCGAGACCAAGGACACGTCTCCTACCTGGCGTTGGTTGATGTTAATCAAATAACTCCCGAGGCAGCACGGTCCGTGTGGCCCAGTGGTTGGGCTTGGACCCATAGTGGCCGGTTCCATTCCTGGTCAGGGCACAGGCCCGGGTTGCTGGCTCCGATCCCCGGGAGGGGGCGTGCAGGAGGCAGCCGATCCGTGGTTCTCTCTCATCATGGATGTTTCTATCTCCCTCTCCCTCTCCCTTCCTCTCTGAAATCAATAAAATAAAATAAATGAGCCCTGGCCAGTGTGGCTCAGTGGATAGAGTGCTGACCTGCAGACGGAAGGGTCACAGGTTCCGTTCGCCGTCAAGGACGCAGACCTCGGTGCAGGCTCGGTCTCCAGCCCCGCGGGAGGGTTGCCCGCGGGAGGCCACCCAGCGATGTGTCTCCCTCACATCGATGTTTCTCTCTCCCTGCCCCTCCCTCCCCCGCTCCAGTGCAGATTCACCACTACAGAAACGGGCACGGGGAGGGGATCGGGCGGGGCGGGCGGGCTGACGGACTGCCGTGTGTCCTGCAGGGCTGGGCCAGGGGGTGCCGGTCGTGGGCCTGGTGGTGGAGGGCGGCCCCAACATCTTCTCCGTGGTCCTGGAGTACCTCCGCGAGGAGCCGCCCGTCCCCGTGGTGGTCTGTGACGGCAGCGGGCGGGCCTCAGACATCCTGTCCTTCGCGCACAAATACTGTGAGGAAGGAGGGTAGGGCTCCTGCCGGGGTGCGCAGGGCGGGGCCCGGAAACCTTGGTCACCCCAAGAAATGTTCGGGAAGGAATCTCTTTAAGTGCATTTCTATTGATGTCAGAGAGGAAGGGAGAGGGAGAGAGAGAGAGAGAAACATCCGTGATGAGAGAGAATCATGGATCGGCTGCCTCCTGCACGCCCCCCACTGGGGATGGAGCCTGCAACCCGGGCATGTGCCCCAATGGGGAATCGAACCTGGGACCTCCTGGTTCCTAGGTCGGTGCTCAGCCACTGAGCCACGCCGGCCGGGCTCAAGGAGGAACCTGGGCTGGGTTCTCCCATCTCCCCAGGTCGGCGTGGGAGGGAGCCGTGGAGACCATGGTGCTGCTCCCGGAATTCTTCCTCTGGGGGGGACACCCTCTCTCTCACCCCCGTTCCCCCGTAGTCGGGTTTGGACAAGCCTGGGGCTGAGGACAGGCGTGAAGGCAGGTTTAGACTCTGGTCCCCTTTCTTCCCTCTTCTATCCGGAGAGCCCCTCAAGGGGAAAAGTTTCCAATCAAAGATACCAGGCGGCCCTGGCTGGCCGGGGTGGCTCCGTGGATAGGGCACCATCCCACGGACTGAAGGGTCCCGGGTTCGATTCCGGTCAAGGGCACGGACCTGGGTTGCAGGCTCCTCCCCGGCCCGGGCCCTGGTCGGGGCTCATGCAGGAGGCAGCCCATTGATGTGTCTCTCTCACATCGATGTTTCTGTGTTTCTCTCTCTCTTCCTCTCTCTCTAAAAATCAATGGGAAAGTATCTGTGGGTGAGGATGCACAAACAAAAAAAAAGATACCAGGTGGGCCGGGGGCCGAGGTGCCGATTCCCGTGGACAGGCCTTCTGCGAGCCGTGTCTCTTCTCTGCGGCGTTCCCCTTGAACAGGGTCATCGGCGAACCGCTCCGGGACCAGCTGCTGGTCACCATCCAGAAGACCTTTAACTACAGCAGGACGCAGGCGCTGCAGCTGCTGGCGGCCGTCGCGGAGTGCATGCGGAAGAGGGACCTCGTGAGTGTCTGTGGCTTTTGGTGGTTGTTGTTCCTAATCCTCACCCGGGGATATTTTTCCCGTTGATTTCTCAGCGAGTGTGAAAGAGAGCGGGAAAGGCAAAAAGGAACATCGATGTGAGAGAAACACATCGATGGGCTGCCTCCTGCACACGCCCCGACCAGAGAGAAACCTGCAACCGAGGTACGTGCCCTTGACCGGAATCGAACCCGGGGCCCTTTGTCCCTGGGCCGACGCTCTAGCCCAGTGATGGCGAACTTTTTGAGCTCGGCGTGTCAGCGTTTTGAAAAAGCCTAACTTAACGCTGGTGCCGTGTCACGTATAGAAATTTTTTTATCTTTGCCACCATAGTAAAACAAAGACTTATATTTTTGATATTTATTTTATAGTTTAAATGCCCTTGAACAAAGAAAAATCGACCAAAAAGATGAGTTCGCATGTCACCTCTGACACGCGTGTCATAGGTTCGCCATCACTGCTAGCCACTGAGCCAAACCAGCTAGGGCTTAAATCAATATAAACACATTAAAATAATCTATATCTATAAAAGCCTACGTGACCGAAAGACCGGTCACCCGGTCGCTATGACCTGCACTGACCACCAGGGGGCAGACGCTCAATGCAGGAGCTGCCCTGTGGTGGCCAGTGTGCTACCACAGCCAAACTCCTGCGGTCGCCAACCACCCGCGGTCCCTCCCCCCAGCCAGCCTGCCCCGATCGGCCGGGAGACACCCCGATTGGCCCGATCGCCAGCCAGGCCGAGGGACCCCACCTGTACACGAATTCGTGCACCGGGCCTCTGGTAATAATAATTAAAATAAGATGGTTTTGCTCCCAGAATCACTGCCTGGCGTACGCGTCGGTCTCTGCTGTCCTTTGTCAAAAGCACCCCAAACCTCCCTCTTGCCTCCAACGCCCCTTGACTCAGTCTTTTCGCCCTGAACCCGCGTCCAGGTCACGGTGTTTCGGATGGGAGCCGAGGGCCAGCAGGACATGGAGATGGCGATTCTGACTGCCCTGCTGAAAGGTGAGCTCCGGGGAGGTGGCGGCTTCCGGCCTCTCGGGGCTGGCCTGGCCGGGTCACCGTCTCCGTCTCCTGCCGGGAACGGTGTCTGTCGGTGTCAGAGCCCGGAGCTGGCCAGCTGCCCAGGCCGTCTCAGTGTGCACCGGGCTCCGTGGTTGAGCGTCGACCTAGGAACCAGGAGGTCACGGTTTGATTCCCGGTCAGGGCACAGGCCCGGGTTGCGGGCTCAATCCCCAGTAGGGGGCGTGCAGGAGGCAGCCGATCCATGATTTTCTCTTATCATTGATGTTTCTGTTTTTTTTTCCATTGATTTTTTTTTTTTTTGAGAGATTGGAAGGAAGCGGGAGAGACAGAGAGAGAAACATTGATGTGAGAGAGACGCATTGCCTGGCTGCCTCCTGGCCGGGGATCGAGCCCACAACCAAGGTATGTGCCCTTGACTGGAATCGAACCCGGGACCCTTCAGTCTGTGGGGTCGATGCTCTAGCGACTGAGCCAAATCGGCAGGGGCAGAGGTTTCTCTCTCTCTCCTTCCTCTCTCTGGGGTCAATAAAAATATATATTAAAAAAAAAAAAAAAAGATGG